ACCTCTTTTATTAAACAATTCCAATACATCACCCAATCCTGTAGTCTCAGCTTTTGTGATATATACATGATCCTTACTAACCACCTATTTCCTGAGGAGCACAGATGAGTCTGGGAACTGGCTGGGATACATGCAAATGAGGTCCCCAGACTAATGCAGTGCCATCCTCCCGGAGCTGAGGTGGTCCCCAATCGGGATCCATGGTGGGATTATAACACCCCAGTTGGTTCCCTAGCTAGAGATCAGTTTACAACCTGCCTCCTTGCAGATCTTTGTAAGGCTGCCCTCATACGAGTAAACTATGAAAAGCTTCAAGACATAGTTCAGGACAGAAAAGAGAATCCATCTTGATTTCAAGAATGACTTACAAAGGCCCTTTTACAGTATACTAATCTAGATCCTGAGAACCCAGAGGGCAGACAGCTCCTTAGGATCCATTTCTTTTTGCAGAGCTTCCCTGACATTAGGGCCAAACTTAGGCCTCTGGAGAGAGGGCTTCTGACCCCACAGGCTTCAGAAGAAGTCTTAGTGATTGGCATTTAAGGTGTACCATGGGAGAGACGAGAAAGGCCATCAATAGGAATACCAAATGCTGGCCAAGGCCATTCAACCAGCCACCCAAGGGCCCCCAGGTCCTTGTTTTAAATTGTGGTCCAGAAGGCCATTGGGCTCATACTTGCCCTGCCCCACATGGGCTACTGGGGCCATGTCCAAAGTGCTACCAAGAGGGACATTGGTCAGTTGACTGCCTCTATGCACCTCATGGCATGGGGACATCAAACGCAGACCACCCTTCAGCCAACCTTCTAGGCTTAACCATGCATGACTGAAGGTGCCCAGGCTCCAGCCTGACAATGGTCATCTCCCACAGGGAGCCATTACAGTATTGGGGTGATCCATTTCCTTCCTCGTGGACACTGGGGCCACTTACTCGATCCTGAGGGAGTTTTGGGGGCTCACCATTCTTTCTTGTCTCGTCACTGTCCGGGTAGGGGGACAGCCTTACCTAGCTCATCAGACCCCACCACTTAACTGTATTTTCAAGAGTGTTCCTCTTACTTACACATTTTGGTCATGTCAATTTGCCTTGTGCCCCTAATGGGAAGAGATTTTTTTTTTTTAGTCAAGGTAGGAGCTTCCATTTTGTTTGCTCCCCCCATTTGCTTGACCCCAGATTCACCAGCAGCTCCTCTCCTCCTCCTCCTCCTCCTCCTCCTCCTCCTCCTAGCATTTTAGCCCACCCCAAACCCAGGGGAATTCCTCCTCATACACAGTGACACAAATAGTGCCCTGCTCTCTTGAGTTCCAGAGGACACTGAGATCAATGGCCTTGTCTCCAATTTCAGATGAATGAGGTTTCATCCCACAACCGCACTCAATCCCACTGGATTGGGAACCCCATATGTTCTTCTTCCTGATTCTCCTTCCGTGTTCTCCTGTCTCTACCAACCACATTCTGCTTCATCAGTTTCCCTCTGTGTCTCTAATAACATATTCAAAGTTCTAATGAACTACTCAGCTAACTGTTACAGGACCACCATCAGCCATAGAGCTGGAGGCACAAGGACCATCAAATACACCCAGGCGGTAAGAAACAGGAACACTCCAGAGGTATTCACAACCCCCAGACTCAAAAGGGTCTGGACTTTGCAAAAACAGACTTTAATATAACAGTTTATTACTGTTAAACGCCCTTATCGCTCAGTCACCTGTGTCTCCTGGATGCTGAAGTGATACTGAGACAATGGAAGGAAACAGGTGCCTTAAGGTTTGTCTCAGGTGAAAATAGGAAGCCTAATTGGTACTAATAGAAAAAAGAAAGCATGTTCCAGATTTCTCTCTCTCTTGCTATATGTCCATAACTTTAACATTAACCAATACAATTCTGACAGCAGAGTACTAAACACTAAAGTATTATAGCTACCAGCTCAGGATTTTACATTTCCATTGGTTGCTTCTTAATATGTCTACTTAAAAATTCTTCTGAGGTCTAGGGAGTTGGTTTGGACCCACCCAGACAGGTCAGATCCACTTCAGCTTGTCCGGTCCAAGCTGTCAGATCCAAGCATTGCTGGATGATTCCACAGGGCTCAAAACAACAGAGAGACATGGCATCCCCATTCCCATCCATCTGCCACTCCTATCCCCTTACTTTTTATAATAACAAAAAGAGTGGAATGTTATGATTCCCAGTCACTTCTGGAGTCACGTGACCATGCATGCACTGTCAGAAGTTAGGCAAAATGCTTAGTCACTCCAGAGCCTTATTTCCTATGTAATCCATGTGCAGCACAGTTCTGTAGTCTGCATGCAGCATGACCATGTATTCTATGTGCATGCATGGCATAGCTGTGTAAGTCCATACACACACACACACACACACACACACACACACACACACACACACACACACACACACGGAGACCCATAAAAGCAGACTGTACCTGCTGCCCGCTCTCCTTCCTTCTCGCCAGAGGTAGCACGCAGCTACCTCTCACCCCCCTCACCTCCACCCTTTCTCTTCCCCAATAAAAACTCTTATAGTGGGTTTCATTGTACCTCATGTTTTCTTGCGCCTGGTAAATAACACTGACAAATAAACATTTTGTGCTTGGGTTGGGTTTATGTGTCTCTTTTGATAGCGGCTAGAGTGCCTTCTTGTACCAAAGGTTTTGGAATGATGGGGTGAAGGCTCTGTGTAGGCACCACCTTGACTCCTCCATGTTCATTAGCTGTGTAGGTGTTGTCTTCAGCCATGTGGGCTTGCTGCCAGTTTGTCAAGAGCGAGCTATGGTCTTGATAACAGCTTGGTTGTTTGGGGATTCCCATGGGACCCCGTGAACAACAACTCAATTAGATGTTACCCAGTCCCAGTACCAATACTGGAAGCTTCTTGGGTGACAAGAAATGGTCAGTTGGGACTCTGTCTCCCTCATTAATTGGCAATTTCATCTAGATTGCCTTTATATATGTATATATATACATATATGTGTGTGTGTGTGTGTGTGTGTGTATAGGAAATTTCTACTGTATTAGGTTTTCATACTATGCCCTCAAATATTCCTTAATTTTAGCTCTCTCTCCGCATATCCCCCCCCCCACAACACCCTATCCCAGCCCCCTCCCAACTCCATCCTCTCACCCCCCCACTCCCCACCCCCTACTCCCCACCCCCCCACCCCTGCTTTTATCCACATCTATCTATTTTATTTCCCTCTCCTAAGGATATTGATCTGTTCTCTCAGGCCCTTACTCTGTACCTACCCACTGGGATTCTATGGATTGTAGCTTCGTTATTATTGACTTGACAACTAATATCCACATATAATTGAATACATACAATATTTGTCTTTCTGGGTCTGGGTTACCTCCCTTGGGATGACTTTTTGTAGTTCCATCCATTTGCCTGCAAATTTCCCAATGTCTTTTGTTTGTTTGTTTGTTTGTTTTTCAAGACAGGGTTTGTCTGTGTAGTCTTGGCTGTCCTGGAACTCATTTTATAGACCAGGCTGGCCTTGAACTTATAGATCCACCTGCTTCTCCCTCTCAATGGCTGAGATCAAAAGCAGGCACAACCACCACCCAGTTGATGTCCTTCTGTTTTTAACAATTGAATAAGACTCCATTGTGTAAAGGGACCACATTCTCTCTCTCTCTCCCCCCTCCCTCCCTCCCTCCCTCCCTCCCTCCC